AAATTTTTTAAGCCCTGATGTTTAAATCTATGGCAAAAGTGTAGAAAATGGTACTCTTTACATTGAGACTGTATGAGACAGACAGCCCAATTGCACCAGCCGTAATCGTTCCCCAATCGCGTGAGATTACTGCGAGCAAGGCAGTGGCTAAAAAATGCTATTTCCAGAAGTATAAGAAAGATAAACTATTAAATATGTTTCCAAACAAAATCCTCATGAAAAAGCTAGTTTGAGACAACAAGGAGGTTGTAGAACCCACCAAGAATTACGGTGCTTCCTAAAAGCTCTAGTCGTACCGACAACCATCTATTAGAAACAAGAGAATAATATGAGCATCGCACATGACTTTCGAGCTAAAGTTAATAAGTATTATGTTTACGAAGAATTTAATCCAAGTGCTATTTAACCACCTTTTCTTTATTTTGCTTTTTGAACATTCCTGTCCATCCAAAAGCACGGATAGTTGTAGCACCTTGAACGCTTTCAGCAAAATGTGAGTAGATAGGGGATCTAGTCAACGACACTAGCCTTTGTAGCTGACGCGAGCAAGGGATAAAGTAGCGCTAAACAAAAATACTGATATTAAAAAAATTTTGCATTGATACTAAGTATTTGTAAAGTTACCTACCAAAATAAAAACGTATATTATGAAGATAGGGATGATGACTATGACGAATAGAGGTGTTGAAACGGAAACTATAATACATACCTAAATTGAAAATTGTTATAAAAGGATTCATAATATTGGGAGGATATGTTCTCCTGATACTTGCCTGAAGGACATTCATAAATGCGATGGCAAGAAATCTGAAGTTTGATGAAAGACGAAGGTCTACAGTTTCCATGTCCTGAATACAAACTTACTTCATCAAATCCGAGGTACGTTTGGGAAAAAGAGCCTAGAAACTGTGTGTATATAAAAATAAGAGTGTATGGTCCTTGCCTTCCCAAGTCGATTCAAAAATCGTCCCAATGGTGTCACATCAAAGTATGACAGAGGACTACGTAATACATTGTGAAACAATGGTTTGTGCAGTTTCAAGGATGCTGCCACTCCACCAAGAATTAATGAGGTAAGAGCCAGGTAGAGGAATATAACTAAAAGCTGAGCACCAACTTTGATTAGTTCAATCATACAGACTCACCTTCGAGAGATCCAATCAAACCATAAACTCCCAAACGCACACCTAATGGCTTGGCCATGCTTGCATCCGCACCAGGTGTGTTATCATTGGACCTAGATATTGCAACGATGTAAATGTATGTATTAGTGCTCAACAAATTTACCAGTCAGTAAGCCAGAAACTTCTTGCCATTATAAACACGGAGTTGAGAGTTAGTGTGATTACAAAGGGAACAAAATAGCGTATAATGCCCATGGATTTGAAGTAGGCCATGTAGACGGAGAATTTCACCTAGAGGTCAGCTCGACGTATGATTATTTATTGTAAGCAAAGCTAAGTGATATTTTTTCTCACCCTTCCGAGAGCTGTTCTTTCGTCTTCTATCAACTTGACTTGCTTCTTAATCTGGGATGCCTGAATAGCCATATAATAACATTTTTCCTCTGATTAAAGTTTCATAAAAAGACGGTATAGGAGGTGAAAATTCAAATACCTTTCGTTTTGAAGATTGTCTTGAATACTGTCTTGAAACCCTGCTTGTCTTGCTCACAGCGGGTAACTTTTCATCGTTGAAATCATATTCGTTAACGTCATCATCGGATCTAAATGG